ATAATTAATTATTATTAAATAAAATTCTAAAAAATTTAAAGAACCAATTAAATGGTTATAAAATATAAAATTTCTAAAGAAATTCTTAAAGAACAATTAAATGGTTATAAAATAAATGAAATTTACAAGAATTTCCTTAAAAAGTACAAAAATATAATTGACATAAGTGGAGATCATCCTAGTATATAAATGATGGCTTAGTTTAAATAATTTATTAGATAGGTATTATTTTTATATTGTTAGATTAATAAGTATGTTAATAGTTAACATGGTATTTTTTCATTAAAAGTTACAATATAGGTAAAATCTTCTTTTCTGTTTAATCAATTAGATTTTTTATGTTAAAAAGGAAAAGAAAATCAGAAATGATGAGTGTTTTTCCAAAAAGTGAGAGAAAAAATTAAAAAATAGGAAAAAAGACTATTGTACTTTGATATTAACAATATATATTGTTACTTGTGATATTAACAATATATTTAAAAGTAACTAAAAATTTGTGATGTTTGATTTTATGTGTACCATGTAACTCTTCTTAGGTTCAGTTTTTTTTTGCTAAAAAAAATAAATTTTAAAATAACATAAAAAGTATTAACTATAATTATAAAAATTATGTCATTGACAAAAAAAAATTATGTCATTCATAGATGGATATAGATGAGATCACATACAAAAATTTCAAATTAAAATCTTAATTATCTACATATTTATATATTTATTTTAAAAACACATTACTCATGAATAATTAAGCTGATAAATAAAGGAAGTAGAAAATACACCTGCATAGAACATAGAAAATAGAAGAGAATAATTTTCTTTAACGGTAGACATAATCTTTGATCAATTAAACTTGAAATGGATATACAAAAATGCATGAGTAAAACTTTAGAACTTGATCTTTCTATATATACATAGTCTGAAATCCTGATTAGTTAAAAAAATAAAATTAATATACCTCCTCCCACCTAATACAATTACTATTTTTTAAATTAAAGAATAAAGGCCCACACGCTAATCTATATAACCTTTTTTTTTTTTTTCAACATGCCAAGAAGACCCCAGGTCTAAGTTTTCTTATTTACAGGTAATTAATAGATTACCTGCTTCTTTTTTTTTTCAACATGCCAAGAAGACCCCAGGTCTAAGTTTTCTTATTTACAGGTAATTAATAGATTACCTGCTTCTCAGGTGTTGATGTCATTTTCAAGCCTTTTCCCACTGCAAATGCTTATAAAAATTATTACTGTCACTTTTGAAACCCAGAAAATAAGATCTTGGTGCATGTAGGCATGATTAGGGTTTAAGAATTATTGATTTCGATTTTAAAATCGCCGGTTCCGATTATAAAAAAGGTGAAATCAGAATCGAACCACATTTACTATAACAAGTGATGGATAAGATAAGTTACGAATTTTCATGCATTATTGCATTGGCAAATTATCACTTTTTAAAAAAACAAAAAAAGTAACATTGATTAAATAGCAGAAAAAGATATAAGATAACTATAACAAGTGAAAGTTCTTAAAATAAATATGTATAAAAAGAAACAAAACGTTTAAAAAGCTTCCTGAATTTATTAAATTTTACCTATTAAGCCCTTGAATTTTTAATTTTTCAACTTTAAGCTTTCAACCTTAACTTTTATTTTAATAAAGATTAAACCCTGAATTGAAAGTAAACAGTAAATTGAAATCATTAATAATGAGAAGTAAGTCTCTAATACTATTTTTTATAATAGTCGGTAACATAATGTTTGAAGTAACTTGTAGATGTTAAGATATCATTTTATAAAAAGTTACTCAAACAGTTAATAACTAAAGTTATTAAAAATAGCTAACAGCTACCAAAACTGCTAATTTTATCGAATAAACCCTTAATATAATAATAGGATCAAGCAATATTTGAAGATAAGCCTAAGCCCAATTATTATTGGTAGGCCCAGTTTTGGCAATTACTATAAGCCCTATTTACTCTTTGAACCAAAAGGAAAGTACTTTTAACTGCCAGAAGGCCTAAATACAATACGACGTTATCCTATTTCTGTTTGAGAAAATTGAAGGAAACCTTAAATTACATAATAAAATTAGTTTTTTTAACTTGCATTATATGGTTGTCTGTATTCATTGATTTTCCCCCGTTAAATATAAATGCAATTTAATTTATATATATGATTTTCTATTAATTTTTATATTACTAAAAATCTAAGATCTTTCATAAAATATAAAAAAATAATATTTTATAAAATAAAAAAAAAACAAATTTTCTCAAAATGATTTAAATCCCTGACTTTTCCGTTTGATGACACTTTCGTAACAATACATTTTACATTTTAAACCAATTTGCTTAAAATGGCAAAATGATTTAAATCCCTGACTTTTCCGTTTGATGACACTTTCGTAACAATACATTTTACATTTTAAACCAATTTGCTTAAAATGGTATGAAAATGCTCTTTTTGCCTAAAAACACGTGGTATTATTTTTCATGTTACTATTCGAACTTATATGAATCTTTTTTCTACAACAAAGGGGATGAGAGATTTTAATTTTGAATATTATTATAATACTAGGTTTAATCAGACTAGCCATAATAATAATAATATACTAGGTTTAAGACCATACTACCCCTGATCTCTTTCAACAGTAGATTATTGTTAATTTGGAAAAGTTGTTGGCAATTCTCAAGTTGCTTATTGCTTGATTTTCATTTATTACATTTTACTTATATTAAAATTATTATTTGTTTGCTTTCAATTTTTATTATGATCAATCCAAAACCATATAAATATAGGAGTAAATTATTATCAAGTCCCTTAGGTTTAATCAAAATTACTATTTCACCTCTACTATTTGGAAAAGAAATATTGCAAAAGTTTCTAAGATTTGGTGCTATTAAACTATTTAGTTTTTCTGTCGCATTTACATTAAATAAGGGATTGAATAGTAATTTAATAACAAATATGAGGAAATATACAATAAAGGTGAATCACCAAATAGTCATTTAAATAGTTTAAGGAGTAATAAATAATATTTTTTCAATATTATTTTTATTTACATTAAATATAATAAGTATTTTGATAAGTTACTCTTGATTTTAAGATAAAGGGTAATTTGGTTAAGTTATATTTAATTTTGTTATAATTTAGAAAAATTAATTACTTCTTTAATTTTAAACCCGTTTAAAAACTTTAAAAGGATTTGCTCCATCCGTCCTAAAAATATAATTTATTTTTCCTTTTTGATTTGTTCCAAAATATAATTTATTACTCATATGTTATATAAGATGGGCATAATAGAAAAGTTATATGATTAAAATTATCTTTTAGTTATAATAATTTTCATTTTTTCAATTTGTATAAAAATAGAAAGTGAAATATTTTTTTATGGAGGAAGTATAATTTACTAATTTATTAATCTTTTTATTTTAGGTAATGCTCACTGTTATTCTATTCGGAATAAAGGAGCAATAAGATTTATTAGGTTTGAATGTTTCGTTTGAATGCAGAAATTATGGATGATGGGTGTATTTATCGCGGTTGGTGCGTAGGTTGGACTGGAGTCTTCCAAACGCTGGCCTAGTGTGTACGGGCAAACAACATGGGTCATTAATATCTTGGAAAATGACCTCTTCGGTTGGCCAATTCGCAGATGGGGGCTGTGCGAGTTGGGTGTCCAATTGGCAGGTTCGATTCTGAATTGAACCAAACCAAAAAAAAAATACTGAAAAGATTTAATTTAATTGATTTGGTTTAATTTTAGCTATTTATTTAATTTAATGATTGTTTAATTTTAGCTATTTTGACAGATGTTTAGGCTCTATTTTCTGACTTCCAATTTGGTTTTGACCAAAGTTTTACTCACTGTCTAAAAAGCCCTAATTGGACTTGAATTCTTAAGTAACATTTGCAATTTAACCCGCGGCTGGATTACAAATATAATACTACTTCTTCATTTATTTTATACTTTCTGATTCAAATGTCTTTTTCGTATAATGCATAAAGAAACAATTAATCTCCGTAAAGTATAACAAAATACCTCTTTAATTTCTCTAATTAAATTACTTCCTTACTGTCACCTCGTCTATTCCAGATTTTTAAAATTTTCACCTCTATTAATTATGTTACTAAAATAGTTACTTGTGTTTAGTAGAATATAAGAATAAAATGAGAAAACTTAATTAATGGCCCATTAGGGGCAAAGTTTTATCCATAGTATCAAACGTAATAAAAAACGGTCGTTCCGATATATCCGGTATAAAGCAAGTCTTATCCTAATGTTTTTTTTTTCCTTTTTTTCTTTGCTCTATCTTTTAGAAGAGTTCTTAGGTCTAGATTGTTTAGATGTCGAACGAAATAGTAATATACTGTACCAAAGCTGTTTGACAACCCATAACTGTATTTAGCATGAACAACTTATTTCATGTAAAGAGCAATCTGGAAAAAAAACAAACAAGAAAAAAAAAAACTCAACTAACTACCATGAACAATCGCTTTTGGGCAAGCTACATTCTTCTTCTTTGCTCTTTTACGACAAGCTCTCGTCGTCATCCCTAGGCACCATTAATCCCGGTACCATCCATCAAAGACGGTGAGACTCTTAGTTTCAGCTGGTGGAAAGTTCGAGCTGGGATTTTTCGAACCAGGAAAATTCAAAAAAGGCGTTATTTAGCAATATGGCTACCAAAAGATCCATCAGTTCATGCCGTAATTTTGGGTAGCAAACAGCAGAAACCACTTATTGATGCTCGGGAGTTTTACCTTATCCTCTAACAAGGCCTTCTAATCATCTATTAAAATAGGCAAAAATAACACCAGTTTTTTGGTCATCTAAAGAAAAAAACAATGGATGTCAAAAGTCCAGTTGTGGCAGCTTTTTAGACTCGCGGAAATTTAGTTGTCCAAAGATAGGAATCGGTCTAATTTGCCTTGTGGCAGAGTTTTGTGATTTTCTCCCATTTGGATTACATTACTTCCTGAATGAAAATATAGGAAGAAATTTTCTTAACTCGGTACTAATTTGCTGTGGCAGAGTTTTGATTCTCCATGTGATACATTACTTCCTGGAATGAAAATAGGAAGGAATTTTTTAACTGGTCAAGAGACGTTCCTAACATCTTGGAAGAGTGAAGATAATCCTGGCCACGGCCAATTTTCATTCTGGATAGATCCGGCTGGATTTCCTCAGCTTGTTGTGAGAAATGGAACTTCTAAGCATTACAGACTTGGTTCGTGGAATGGCGTTCGATTTACAGGAACTCCCCTGTTGCCATCATATGTTGATTTCCTCACATATGAATTTGAATTGAATAAAAATGGAGTCTATTATAGTTATAAGGTTGAAGGTACTCTATTGTCCAGGTTATTAATGAATCGATCGGGCTTCTTGGAGAAATTTGTGAGAATAAATCATCCTTGGATACATATATGTTTTGAACCATTACATGAATGTGATACATACTCAGTTTGTGGTGCTAATATGAAATGTAATATTATTGATAATTCTCATACATGTGATTGCTTAGAGGGCTTTATATTGGAATCTTCCAAAAATAGGAGCAATCACTGTGTTCGAAAAACTCCATTGGATTGCAAAAAGGGTTCCGTTTTTCATAAGTATATAGGTTTGAAGTTACCAGATACATCAGATTCTTGGTATGATATGAATATGACACTTGCAGAATGTAAAGAAGAGTGTTCAAAAAACTGTTCTTGCACTGCATATGCAAATTCAAACATCATTGGAGAAGGCAGTGGCTGCGTGCTATGGTTTGGCGAACTGATTGATATGAGATATTACACTGAAGGTGGTCAAGATATCTATATAAGAATGTCCTCTTCAAAACCAGCAGGTATAAAAAAAACTCTTTTTTTTCCCCTAATTCTTTCAATTTGGCTCTGGCGAGGATTGAAACTCGAAACTCACAGCCCTGAATACAGTAAAATCGAGTCTGGGCTCATTGGTCCAAATCTTTCTTTTCTGCCAAAAAATTTATCCGTTTCAAGAAAAGGAATTAGTTAGTTAGGTTATTGCCATATTATCTCATGAATATACCCACTGAGAATACTTTTTTATATTTCAGATCAGTACAAAAAGGAGCTGATTGGTATCATTGTCAGCTCTGCTATACTTATAGGAATGCTTGTGGTGGGGATTATAGGTTGCATAAGGAAAAAGAAACAGAGAAAGCGAGAAAAAGTAAAAGGCAGTTATATAGAATGTTATGAAGATGGAGAGGTAAAGGAAGACATGGAATTGCCAATATTTGATTTGCCTACAATAGCTAAAGCCACAGATAATTTTTCCAGTATCAACAAACTGGGGCAAGGTGGTTTTGGACCTGTCTACAAGGTACAAATTTGAATGATTTAATATATATGGTACATAACATATTATCTCTGCAACTACAAAGATCTTCAGTTTCTGTAACAATGGTTTTCAGGGTACATTGACTAATGGGCAAGAAATAGCAGTCAAAAGGCTTTCAAAGAGTTCTGGACAAGGGTTAACAGAGTTCAAAAATGAAGTTATTTTGATTGCAAAACTTCAGCACAGAAATCTTGTTAAACTTCTTGGCTGCTGCATTGAGAAAGATGAAAAAATGTTGATATATGAATTCATGCCGAACAAGAGCTTAGATTTTTTCATTTTCGGTTTGAACTTCTCTCTTGTCTATAATTACTATCTCACAACTTGTTTTATGTTAATCTAGTAAAACATTCTACTAATAGATGACAAATATATCAGATCAAATGAGAAGCAATTTTCTAGATTGGAAAAAGCGCTTTCACATTATTGAGGGAGTTGCCAGAGGGCTTGTTTATCTTCATCAAGACTCTAGACTAAGGATTATACACAGAGATCTCAAAGCAAGCAATGTGTTATTGGATAAGGACATGAATCCCAAGATTTCTGACTTTGGTTTGGCTAGAATATTTGGTGGGGACCAAACAGAGGCTAATACAAATAGAGTGGCAGGAACATAGTAAGTACACATCTGCACTTATTATTCATTTTCAGTTCTCCCCTGTTAGGAATTTCAAATTTAAGATAGCAAAAAATACATATCTTCAGTTCTTCCCCTGTGTTGGGAATTTCAAATTATAAAATAGCCAAAAAATATAGTTCCTGACTATGTTTCGTTTTTGCAGTGGTTTATATGTCGCCTGGAGTACGCAGGTGGCGCGCTTTTCTCCATGTTCGAACTCAGGCGTCCTTCAGCTTTGGCGTTATTAGTACTGGAGATAGTAAGTGGAAAGAAAAACAGAGGGTGCTCTCCACCAAGGAACACAACCACAAATCTACTATGGACAATGTAAAGGAACTTTTTGCTTGGCACAGGCCTTCAATTACTAAATTGAATCAAATTTTTCAATCTTTATTGTTCTTGATTTTACAGGGCATGGAACTAGTGGACTAAGAAGAGAGTGCTCAATGGAACTTGTTGTAGAAAGCGTAGAATCTTTAGCCATGTCTGCAAGTGTAGATGCATTCAATGGGTCTTTATAGTGTTTCAAACAGCGTCCAGACAAGACAGACCAAGCAATGGCATTGTCAGTCTGTAATGTTTAAGCAGTGAGGAGTTTATTGCCGAAACCAAGCAGCCTGGCCTTTCTCACAGAACAGGAAATAACCCTAGAGCAGAGTTCTTCATCCACCAACCATGGGAAAAAACATATTCCTCAGTAAAATGAGAATGGAGTATCTAACTTTCAGCTGCTGGCAAGGTAGAATATTAAAGAGATTATTTACAGTCTATCGGTTGAACTGTTCAACATTATACATTTGCATACTAGAAAAATTTAAGGATTTAAGATTTAAAAAAAAACTGGTCGTCTCTATTAAGTTAAGAGACCTTGAGGAAGGTTATGGCATTATTGTCTGGCAATCAAGCTATCTATTGCCAAAATTTCTATAATTATTTTGTAGTTCAAAATGAGGAACCTTCTCCCTTTACGCAGTGCAAAAAATTTGTTGTCATTTTGCATTCATATTTTTTTAAAATAATAATAAAAAGTAAAAAATCTTTAAAATGCTCTTATTGAATATCCAAATCTATAATTAGCGTTGGACATTGTTTATTATATAGCAGAAAATTTTTAATATTGAGTTAATTTTTTTTTTTTTTTAAAAGGGGGGGGGGAACCAATGTATAATTAAAATATGATATTTAAGACATGTATAATTAAAAATAATTGAGAAGTATTTATTTATTTTTTTACTAAATTAATAATAATTTGACTATATATATTATCAATCTAAAAAATTACAAAAATTTTTTTTATCAGCAATTAGAATATTAAAAATTTATTAAAGGTAGGAATAGGACAAAACTTACCAAAACGGAATAACTACTCCCAAGCCAACATGCTTACCCTGTACACCCGAACCCAAACTAGAAATTGACAAGAAAACCCAAAACAAACGGAGCAGAAGAACCACATTAAAAACATCTCTTAAGACAAGAGAAGAGTACTAGAAATGCTAGAACTGCTGATAGTACAAAGAGAGAAAATCCAAAAAAAAAAAAAAAAAAAAAAAAAACAATTGAGTTAAATCCAAGCCAACGAATTGGACTTCGAAGCAGAACACCTTTCTTAGTTAAAAATCTGCAGAAATCGATATGACCATCTCGTGAAATTAAAAAACAAAAACTGAACCTGGTTTGAGTTGAGGACAAAATTTTACTTAAACTTGTTAAACTTCTCCCACTCCCATTTCCCATATGCCTCAATAATTTTACCGGAATAATCCAGCACCAAAGCCATATTTTTTAGCGTCGCGGACCACATACCCACAAATCAAAGGGAGATATTCTTAAACATTGAATACTAATAAAGACTCCGAATAAGCCGAAAAAAAGAAAGCAAGGATTCCGCCTTATTACGAATTCCAAAATTACCGACTGAAGTGATATTTAACTACTTCGGTTTGTCATACCTTGCATGCCTCTAACCCCTTGCTGACCCGCTACTCAGAAGAATTATGCCGATTTTTTCTTCATTGCTCTAAAAACTATAGACAAATATAAAAAATTAAAAATAACAAATTATCAATTTTATTACATTTAACTTTTTATATCATACTGGATGATTTTCTTTGGTTAAATAACAAAAAATTTATGTTTATTAAAATGTTGCCATCATTATGTATTAAACTAATAGGAATATTTAATTATTTTTTTTTAAAAAAAATTCTTATGAGTACAATTAATTGATTAAAAACAATTATGGAAATACAATTTACTTTATTTTTTGGTTTCATTTTTAATTGTAATTAAAGTGATATAAAAAGGCGGTTGAAGTTAGAAAAATTGAAAAATATACTACAAATTCTGAGTATTCTAATTATAGTTAGTCTTTTTAGATATAAAAGACTATTATGCATTAAGTTTTTCACTTTCCCCCAAATACTTAGAAATCTTTACCATCTTTTTTACAACTACAACAAAGCTCAATAAGGAAATGTCGACTTGCACACTGGTCTCTTCATTCCCCGTTTATTTCAAATTTCATGGATGTCAATAAGATTATAAACTAATTAATTCGATAAGTAAACTAATTAATTCGGTTTGACCAAAATTAGTAATAGTAAAACTATTTTTCTAAGGAAGATTGACCTCAACATTGCAATAATCGGTTTGACCCAAATCCAAGAATACTTTCCAACAATTTCTCTAGTCTTTGCGAGCATTTATTAAGTTTTTTTCCAGTAAGAGTAAAGCGTAAGTTTTATGCTCAATTCAGTTCGATTTAATATCTTAAAAATTTTGTTCCATTTTGATTTTAATAAAGAATAGAAAATTTTTTAATATGAGTTAGTTTGATTAAATCCAAAAGAAAAGTTGAAACATGCCACAAATAATTGGAAATGAATCGAATCATACCCTTTTGGTTTATATGCTGTTCGGTTTCAGATTTTATTCCATCAGAAAAATTTCATTCAGTTTAGTTCGCAATTTTTCTGAATTTTGAACCAAAACTGAAATACCTCGAATTTTTATTTTCGAAACTTTCAAATTTTTATTATATCAAAAATCTTGATTTTCAACTATTTGGGCTATAAACACCAAATAATCTTAACTTGAGTCCAAAATTTTGCGAGTTGGGCCCAAACCCAAATATATTGTCGGAAATTTCGATTTGAGAACAGTTCAAAATTTTCGAAAAATAATATAAAACTCCAGCGATTAATCTATTATGAATATATATAAATTAATTATCCTAAAATCAAATATTGTTACTATTAATGTTTTTATTTTTATTATTATTGGGTAAATGGAGAAAAAGTTACGGAATTTTTATTATATATAAATTAATTATCCTAAAATCAAATATTGTTACTATTAATGTTTTTATTTTTATTATTATTGGGTAAATGGAGAAAAAGTTACGGAATATAACTAAAATAATCAAATAAATCGAACTGGACCCAGAACTCAAATTGAATTGTCGAAAACCAGCTTGAATTTTCTGAAAACCAAGTTAAATCGGGTCAAACCATTGATTTGGACCAAATCAGTTCGAATCGAACCGGAATGGCCTAGAAGTCTCTAGACCCATCTCTCTTCTTTTTCTTTTCTTCTCTTCCTCTTCTTCTGCTTGCGACCTCGCTGCCTCTCCTCCTCCCGTTTTTCCGACCACCAGAACCAGCGCCTCCTCGCCGCGTCTCCTTGCCGCGTCGCCTCCTCACTGCAGTAGCTCCGGTCCTCCTTCCTCTCTCCCATTTCGTTGCTGGCATACGCAGTAGTCGCAGGAGATTTGCGAGTTGTTGATCAGAGAATCGCGTCGCCTCTCTATCTCGACTCTCCGGCGATCGATCGACTCCAGTTGCGTCCCTCATCGACGGCGAGCACCGAACGTAGGAGGGATGCAGTGGTCGGCATTGGAATCGACAGAGACAACAGTGACACTGGACCACTGCCAAGCCCGGTTCGATCGATTGGAGTGCCGATCTCGGGAAACGGAGGCCAAAAACGGACTCTGGACGGAAAATCGAGCCAAATGGCATGGAGAGCGTTCCGTTCTGAGCGGCCACGACTTTCCGGCCACCGTCGGCGGTGGCGGTTCAGTGACTGGCCGGCGACACTCCGGTGAGGCCCTGTGAGACAGAATTCTCTTCTCTTCGCGCTGATCATAGAATCGTCGCCTGATTCTTAATCGGTACGTTCTAAGACCAATTTCTCCATTTTCGGTATAAATTCTAAACTTAGTAATTGTTAGTTAATTAAATTGAATTTGAATAATTAATTCCTATATTATATATGAGCTAGGTTGAGAAGGACCCATTTATTTTGAAGAACAACAACTATTTTGAATAATTGAGGACAATCGGATAAACTAATCATAGGAATTGATATATATTTAAGGGCGAGTTGAATTACTTAGTAGATGTATTCATTAAACTTTAGCTTAATTGAAGCATTTGTTCTTAGTGGCTAATTTAAAATTTGATAAAGGTATAAATATGTGATTGTCACCTTTAAGCAAGGATGAAGAAATGAAGGTTTGATAAAGAGTTCTCTTATATTAAAGGCTAGGTAACTATCAAATGACGATGACTGAATTTAACTTATTGATACAAGTTTTGTTTATAAATTGTACATTTATTTGATAATTAGTTAAAGAACAATTAATAATATCGTTGGAACATGCTGACGACATGACTGGAATTTAAACTTATTGATTTTACAAGTTCTTGTTTTATACAATTGTTACCATTCTATTTGATAATTAGTTATAAGAACAATTAATCAATATCGTTGGAACATGCTCTGGACGTCGTTATTATAACTTTTGTAAATTAATTGGTTGCATGTGGAACATGCGTTGTTTGAAAGCGAGGATGGATGCCGAGCTGTGTGTACTTGATTGATAAATGATATAAATAATATTGTGTTATCTAACAGGCGACGACTGTCCAAATTTTAGAAGGAGGTCGTGCCGAAATTTCATAGAACCTAGACTTAGTCTTCATCATTAATAC